TGATTAAAACAATAGCAATAAATCAGAGATCAACAGAAAAGTTGAAGAAAGAATAAGAGAAAAAGGGGGAAGGATGGGAAATCAACATCCAATCAACACCCATCAAGCCAAAAGGAAAATAACACACTTATACCACAATAAAAGTACAAAAAAAAATCGAGAAATATCAGCAGTTTAAATCCGTTCTGATGAGTGGTTCTGTCTATGTAACCATGAAACCTTGAAGTAAACATGAGTTAAGTGAAATCCTTTTTCAAATTAATTCTATTCTTCGGTATTGACAAAGCCTGATTGCCTCAAATGCCTCCTTATCAGCAAACCACTGAAAATCCAGCAATTTTGGCTTCAAAAACAGTCTTTCAAATTAACAATATATATATATATATATATATATATATATATATATATAAAAAGAGTCCATCAAAAATACTTTTACAAACTTTGAGGATGGGTTCCTCATACCAAAACAAGGATAAAAGTCTATATAAACACATGTCCGCAAATCCTTCTTTTTGAGTTATCAAGTTTAAAGTTTATAGTAGATGCTGTTAAATGTACAATCAAAGATACAATCCAAAAATACTTTTACAAACATTGGGGAGGGTTTCCTAACATCAAAACAAGGTAAAATATAAACATATATCCAAAAGGTCATCATTGTACCTCAACACAGCAACACATAACAAATATTCAAAACGTCCTCCGCTTGCTTATATACAAGCATGCACCTGTCAGATCATTGACTGGTAGACTCTGTCAAATACTCCCAAATGGTATCAAATGGTTTTGCAGGCCCCCATGACATGTTGATGAAGTGTTTCTGCATTGGTAATGTCTGATGCATAAAGCAATCCTTTTAGGTGACCACACAGATAAAAAATTCAAAGGATTGAGGTCAGGGAAGCATGCAAGGCATTGAACCAGTCCTCCCCATCTTTCATGGTAGATGTCAGCCAGTACATCACAAAAAATATGGAGCCTCATCAAGCATCAAACACATGCATCTTTGTATTAGCAGAGGTACATGGAAGTGTGTTCAAAGTAAATTTCCTGTAGACAGCTCCTGTAAAATATGCTGGGAGAACATATGGACCTACCAGACAGTCACCTACAATTCCAGGCAACACATTAATTGTAAACTGATGCTGATATCTAGTCTGTATTTTACCATGGGGATTCTGATCTGTCCACAAATGTTGGTTGTACAAATTATACTAATAATAAATATACATTTTCCTCACCATTGGTATAAATCTAAGAGTTTCAGGCACATAGCAATCATCAGGTACAAAATGAAAAACAACCATTGCAAAATTTTAATAATAATATTTTTTTAAAAATTATGAAAAAAAATATATTTCTAAAATAAATGATTAAATACAAAAAAAAAACAAAGATAGAACAAAAAACACACTTATATACACCTAATAACACACATACACGTGTGTGTTTCAGCACAGCAATTGTAAACATACATATGAACACACACATATCCATGTACAAAATGTATTAAAAAAAGTATTGAGCCTGCAAAGCCTGATATAGAAAAATACATATATATATATATATATATATATATATATATATATATATATATATATATATATATATATATTTCCTATATGTCCTATAAATATATCTTTAGTACAATTTATCCACATCATATACATATTTTCAATATATAATTCACATACCCAAATATATAAGTATATACATCCACATACATATGCACATACAAATATTTGATATTGCAGATTGCATATACACGCATACACACACATATACTCATAATCATGCATCCTTTTTGGTATATTTTGTACATGGATATGTATGTGTTTGTAAGAATGTTCACAGTTGTTGTGTGGTAACATCTATATGGCAATGCACTATAACAGTTCTATTGTATTTAACTGCCCAAATAACATGTTTACTTAAAGTTGATAGTATGGTTTTCTTCATGTATTTTGACAATGTTCTAAAAATACATCATTTTTGTTTCTCTGTTTACATTAGCAAAGCTTCTTCAAATATTTTCCACCTGGTCAGTCCACTTTTCTTGCTTATAACTTTTAATGTTTTCAGATATTAAAAACAAGTATTTTTGTTCTTATCTTGCCAATGTTCAGTTTTATGCAATTTCCAACGTAATGTTCCACCCACTCAATAACTTTACAACATCTTATATGTTTTTATATGTTTTCGTGGTCTTATGACACATGAAAATATTTTGATATCTAAAATCAAAAAATAAATATCAATAGCTATAATATTTTTTTTTAATCATGTCACTCCAAGCAAGGTGATAATGCCACTATGACACAGGGAGTGAAAGAGAATGAGAAGATTTTAGTGAGAAGAATTGAGAAAAAAGACAATAAGGGAAAGGATTCAAGAAGAGAGAAGATCGCAATTAATGTTGCAATTAATTTTTTTTTAAATTGCAGGTGACAAGAAAGCAAGAAATCAGAATGTAGTTCCAAAGACATGAAAAGAAACTATTAGAATAGAACTGACAGTTGTATCGAGATAGTTCAATAGTAAAATATCTAACTTCCAATCTTAAATTCATGCAGTTTAGGCACAAAGGAGAACTGATTATCAGAACAATTGCCATGAAAATATTTGCAGAAAAGCCAGAGGGAAGCCATGTCACGTCAGTGAGAAAGTGGCTGAAGTCAAGATGCTAGCTCAGGATCAGTAACATTACAGACCCTTATTTGAATTTTTCTGAAGAAATATCGTAGAAGCACCTGACCAGATACAGCAGCAATATTCAATTCATGGAAAAATTGTAGATTTATAAATGTTCCAACTTTCCTAGTGGTAGACCTAGCAATTGATTTCAATATAATCACTCCACTTCATGTCTGTGAGAAAAAAAAGTGAACCCAAGAAGGTGCAAAGTGTTGCACTCTTGGAGATATTTAACAACAAGATGATGAGCAAACATTAAGTTGCATAATAAAATCTCACATAACCAAATAACTTATTGTAAATTCTTTTATTAAAAATAAATATTACAAACTGAAATTCAATTACCAAGTTAATTAATACCAATTTGACTTGCATAACATTTCAGTGTGTAAGTTATTTTTTTACTATACAAGGAAACTATTATATATATATATATATATATATATATATATATATATATATATTTAAGAGCTGTCTGCATGCCATCTGTGGAGTTAGCCTTCAAGACAGGACATCTGATGTAGACCTGTTTAACAGATGTAATATTGAAGGAATTGAGACTTTCCTCATAGTCTCAGTTGCAGTGGACTGGTCGTGTCTTGAGAATGTCTGATGACAGGATACCCAGGAACCTAATGTACAGCCAGTTAGATCAGGGATACAGGTATGTAGGACACCGATGGCTTAGATACAAAGACAAGCTGAAAAGCAACTTGTCAGCTGTCAATATACCTCATAACTCCCTTGAGCACTTAGCCTTGGAGTGGGTCGGGTGGAGATCTATGTGTCTTAGTGGACTCAGCTTTTTTCAATCTACTAGTCTAAATTGTCTTCAAGAAGTGAGAGCAAAATCTAATAGGTCAGCCAATCTAACTGTGACCTCATTCCACAATCCTCACTTTTGCTCCATAAAGTGGCCTCCTTTGCAAGTCACTTGCAGGTCTTAAGTGCCACTTAAGATTATCACACAAAATTCATACCTGAATCAATTGGTTCAGTTTTCAAAACCTCATACATCAAAACCAATGGGAGAGTCCATTATATATATATATATATATATATATATATATATATATATATAAAACTTTTTTCTAAAATATTGTTAATAAATCTAATTTTTTCCACTAGCACAAAAGTTTCACCCATGGATTATCAAGCAATCAAATTTAGCATTTTTCTTCTATTGCCATAACAGCTATGTATTGGTAGTTGCAGGATGAAAAAAAATTGCATATTAAAATAACAAAATTTTCTACCCCAGTTCCTAATTTGTCAAAAGAATTTTTCTTGTATGCTGTCAGTACTTTAATGAGAACTAAGACTCCATTACTTTAGGTTGGCTATTTAATCATTAATATCACGTTCTCAACTGTTATCTTCCCTACATATTCTTAAAATATACAAACCTTGCTCCCTCTCTATACACCCTTACAACATCAACATTCAGTAACTTTACCTTGGGTTTTGTATTGGGTGAACAATTGTGAAAAATTACAAACTTTCTGGGCAGATTTTACATGTGTGTGTTCTTTATTTGTTGGATACAATTTCTATTGCACAACATCTAAAAACACATTCCTGTCCACCTTCATAATACAAGAAATTACTTGTTGATAACACCAATATACTACACCACAAAAATAATAAACAAAAACTTCAAATTCTTATGGCTATATCAAAATCAACCAAGACTAAACAAAATTTATTACAAGTGTAGCAACAACATATTAAAGTGCATATAACATTTAATGCTATTTTACATTTCTAACAATTCCTGGTCAGCTCTCTTATATTGAAACACTTGTTTTGCAAAAAATTCCATAACTTCAATGGATAAATTAAAATTTTTTAAATAACTATAACAGAGCATAGTTACCTGTATTTTAAAAATCATTATCACAACAGAATTCAAATTTTATCATAGTTATAATAAGTTTGTCTTTGTAATTTACCCTGAAGATGATCTTAGAATAGATCCAATGTCCTTGGGTTAAAAAGAAACTACAGCATCTCCCTTGATGAAGTTCATCTTAACATCAAGAAACTGATTAGACAATTGGAAAGGATTGGTATAAAAATAAATAGATATAATAATATAGATATGCAATTAAATTTTTGATAGAAGTTGTACTGCTTACAAATATATATATATATATATATATAAAAACTTTAGATACAATTTTTTAATGACAAACAAAACACAAATCCACAATAGTTAATATTTATCTTATCCATTCTCTATTTGAAAACTTAAGTAAAACTGTTGGCATCATGTCAATGTGGCAACAGCAGTCTTGATAACTCACATCTTTGTCAATCTCTAGGGCTTTAGTGAGTCGATTTTGACACTCCACTTTGAATGTAGTGAGCCAATACATGAGGGTTTCTTGGAACCAGGACTGATAACCTCCCAAGGTTACCAGAAATAATTCTCTGCAATGATACAAGATATTGTATATTATAAGAATTAATGTTTTTATAATTCATATCAAATGTTGCATAATTGAAAAGCAATAATATTGAAAATATTAGTCAAAGTAATTAAATAAATGCTAATAGCATCACATCTAACAAACATGAGATAATTTAATGGTTTGAAAGCAAGAAGCCATAATCTTCAAAAAACACCAATGAGAATCATACTATCTCAAGCTTAGATCTATTTGAAATGATTTATCAGATGAGTTCAAAGGGAGATAAATTTTCTTTGATTTTCTATAGTAGTATTATTATTAAAAAACACTTTTGTTTTAACATTTGAATAGTTATCACCTCCATTGTTTCTTATATAAATAATGTTGTCAGCTCTATTGTTCATTATGAGAAGTGCTGAAAAGTTCCCAGTCTGACTAAGAAATCCTTTCAAAAAAATTTTTTTTTCAACACTAATGTTTGGTCAGATTTTGGGAAATGGGTCTCAGCACCAGCTCATATCAACAAGATACTGATATATGCAACACTTGATCAGATGAGGTGTTGAAATTAATAGCATCATATTTTCTAGGTTATGTTCTCATTGTAATAAATTAATCATTATATTATGGTTTGACTTATAAGGGAAAATTTCAGAAGGCCTCACATGCATCAGTTGCAGAAGATGTGGAATCCTTAAAGTAAAGTGGCATATGGAGTGGACCAGCAATTGTTCTCAGTCAAAATGGACAAGTTCTGGTCAAATGTGGAGGTATCTATGCTAGAGTACACCCATGTTGCTTGATTTTAGAAAAAAACTAATTCAACCAAATTCTACTAAAATAAATCAAACTGCATTGACTTCAGACACTAAAAATTCATGATATAATGAACATGAAAACAGTTTTATTGAAAAAGAAAACGATGACAGTAGAAACAGAGAAGAAATCCAAGATAAGGAAGATACTGAGAATAAAAAATGGCATACAAGTTTCAGATTCCAAAACTGTAATGATACCACAAACTAGAGGAAGACCTCCAAAACACAAAGTTAATACAGCTTGTATTTTGAATAAGAATAGTTCTTTAAAAAGAAAAATATGGATGTTCTGTTTAAATTGCATAGAGAAAATGACTGGGTAACAGCAAAACTGATTTCTAAATCTGGTAAATGTTTTGGCAAATATGCAAATGAGTGGAAAATGAAGCTCGGTGATTAAGTTTGACAGAGATATCTCTGTCAAACTCAATCACTTGTCTTTTGATATTTAATGAGGATCATCTCAATTGGATGATACTATTTCACAGAAATATTCCAAACTGAATCACTGCAAGACATTCTTCAGGCCAAACATAATGAATTTGTGACATCAGACTATGCATGGAAATGTCAATGGTTCAAGAAATGATTAAAAAAGAGAAAGTAACATTCTCATGGATCTAAAGTAAAGAACATTTGGAAGACACACTCACAAATGATTTTTTATTGAGTAAAAATCTTTTGAAGATACTTCAAGAAGCACATATATAAAAGGTGAGGAGAATTGAAGCTTTTGTTGAGTTCAATTGTTCAATTTCTTGATGTATATTTGTTCCATTAACAAAGAAGAAAGGAGATTGTTAGAGTGAGTGGAGTTACTTCCCATGATAAGAAAATGTTGTAATTGAGATTACCATAGGGAAGATTTTATTGAGTTGGAAATATAGACAAGGAGAGAAAGATATTGCAAGAATACTTAACATTCCTCATGTATATCTTTTCACTAGTTATGGAATCAAAAAGAAAAAGAATCTAAATGAAGGCTAAATTATACAAAAAAAAATTTAATTTAAAATTCCCAGCATCCCTCATTCATGTGCACGTGTAGGTGTATCTACACTGTAAAAAAAACTTAGTGCAAGGAAATTCTAAAGAATGAAATGCATCACATGAAAACTTTTTTCCACTTTGTCAAACATTTCTTCCCCAATACATACAGGGCATGATGGATAAATTGTCATCTAAATTACACAAAAATGGAAATAACACTGAATACACTGAAATATCTTAAAATACTAAAGAGTAAATTTATTCAATAAAATCATCATTGGCTTCAACCGTGGCCTCCAGATGACTTCAGAATCTCCTACATCTCTTCTGGATGGTCTCCTTGTCTAAGTTGGTGAATACTGCCATAATCTTTACCTTCAGTTCATCTTTGATGCTACCATGAGTTATGTTGGTCTCTCGCTCAACTGTGCCCACACATAATAATCAAGGGGGTTGCAGTTTGGGGAGTTAGGTGGCCAGATGTAAGGGTGATGTGGTCACAGAAATTATCTGGGTTTTCCTGCTTATGTGGCACAGTGCAGAGTCTTGTTGCTAGACATAAGGTCTTCCAGCAGCCACTCTCTTGACCCAGATGTCTTGATGTAGACCTCTGTGTTGAGTCTGAGGCCCTGTGGGAAGATTAATGGTGGCATAACGTCGCCATCACTAGTGATCACTCTAAACACCGTGATGTAGACAAATCCTCTACACATCTCTTCAGATTGACTCTGAAACACTCTGAAATGTTTGTATTAGAGCTTCCAGCATGAATGCCAAGCAGTACAGCATGCCGATTCTAAATTTCTGGCAGAGTGGATTGGACTCTTTTTCTCACAGACAGTGACCAACTGACACTATTATACTGTACAGGAAAAAAACAAACAACGTGTATGCATAAAATTAAAAATACAAAATCGCGTCAATTTATCCATCACACCTTATGTCTTATTAAAAAGAATAGATATTGTGCATCTATTATGTTTATTGATCATTTTAAACTTTTGCAAGTGTGGCTACAAATATAAAATAGCCAAAAGAAAATGTGACTGCTGCAGATGCAAAAACAGTTTAGACCTAATACAAATTTTGACTAAGTGTTATTTTATTTACTTCTTTTATTGATTTTTATTTACTTATTTAATAAAAATGGCAGATAATTGCATCATCCTTCAAATGTAACAGATGGTTCTTTTTATAAATTACTCTTCTCAAATTACATTAAAATACATCAATTAAAAGAGGTAACAAATTTGAAAGATATATAAATTCAGTAAGATTAAACAATTTCAAGTTTTAAATTTATATAATTTTGCTTCTCTGAAGTGACACTAGGTACAAAGAACGAGAGCTACATAGTTAAACAGTAGATATTAAAAGGTAAGTGAGTGAGAAAAAGAATAAAGAGAGAGATTTTAAATAATTAAGTGTACTGCAATAAGTGTTAAAATCATGACAAAAATCATCTTTAATCACAGGATTTACCTTTCATTCAAGTTGCATTTTAGAATGTTGTACAACTTCCTTAATGTAGTGTATAGACTCAGAGAAACCTTGGAACTATTGGTGATGTTCTCTGGAAACTTGTAATACCTCAACTGATAACGGTTCATCTCCAACATGAGTTCCTTTGATTTCATTGAAATCTGCAAGCAAGAAAGTAGAAAAAAAGGTATGGATCATTATTATTTGCCTTTGGGATTTTTTGCTACATCATCTAAATATGTGGTATTTAAAATTTATCAAAATTTTAACATTGCTTTTTTACTTTTCTTTTTTAATCGTAAAGAACTTCATTGAAAACAAAATTAATTTAAACTTGCAAGCATCTTTAGAAATAAACTTATGAAACTATTTCTTATACTCTACACCAGAATATTTAACATCTATATGACCAAAAGATTTAGCCTCCAAATTGATCTGCAGACCAAATTTCATCATTTTTTAATAATAAGTTCTAAAAATTAGTCAAAAGGACCACAACAAACTATAAATTTTACAAGACCAGAACAAAAATTATGTAAGCCAAAAGACTCTTTAGCTATTACATACTAAAAATGCTTACTGACTGTAGAAATGTATTAGTAAAATTAGAAAGTATGCAGTTGAAATCAAACATAACGCTATACATTAACTAAATATTGTGAAACTCAGGTCTCCCATTTTAACCTAGTAAAGATTCCCTGTTTGAGGTCGTTTAAGAATGGGGAATGTCCACTCAATCAGAGAGATAATGATTTATTTGAGTTTTTATTTCTTTCATCATATTCTCAGCTGGTCAGAAGTTTAAAATGATTGTACTTTTAAACAACTTGAAATATTTTTGAAAATGATGTCATTGCTTTAGAAACTTCAGATAATCTAATTGACATTACATGTGTCAAATGAAGGTGTACCTGTGAATACATTTTATGACCTACCTTCAAATTCAGTGACTTTTTATTTGACAACAAAGAACAAAACAAAACTGCATCTCCAATTTGTAGCTCATATCTTGGATTGTTCCTGTTGTTAACAAACATTGATGGTCAGTGGGCCTCCATAAGTCTGTTTCAAATGTCTGAGGGTACCATGTATAAACACTATGGAACCATTCAGCCATCAGGAGACTAATGCTCTCTGATGCCAAAAATGCAAATCAAAGAACTTCAGCAAAGGACCTTGTGAAGATACTGGAGGAAACAGTGACAAAAGGGTCTATATCCACTGTAAAATATGAAATTATATCAACAAAACCAGAAAGGCTGCTCAGTAAAGAAGCCACTGATCCAAAACAGCCATAAAAAGCCAGAATACTTAATGAAAAGAACTAAGCCACAGAAAAATTAAAATAAAGTTCTGAAGTTTGAAGAGACTTCCTCATTAGTCTTCATGACCAAAAGATTAATCAGGCAAAAACCAAAATCATGAAAACAAAGGAAAGAAAATTCCTCCAAATAAAATTCTAATTACATCTTTGGAAATGGAAGAAAAATCTGTTCAAATATTTTTATTTGCCAAAAATATCATCATCATCAAGCAATGAATAAAATTCTATAATGAAATATATTCTTTTCAAATTTATTATTTGAAATACATTCTTATATTCAAATATATTATTGTAAAAATCTATGACACTGGATGGAAAGAATTCAGATAATGCTCTTCTAGTGATCAGATTAATGAAAAATTTTAGGATGCCCAGTTAGATGAGTTAGAAAGAGAAGTAAAATATCCCAAACTCAACTTCACTTCTGTGGGAATTACCCCCATCTAGTTTGCTAATATGTCCAATAGGTGGTGCTACTTCAGAACTATAAAAGAACAAGATAATCCATCTTCCTTTTTTGCTCTCTTCTTGCTCTGAAATGTAACAGTGTTAACACATGTCTTGTAACCTGATGGGGGAAAATTCTTTCTCTTGGCAGCTTGATTGATTTCTCTTTTTTTGTGTGTGTGTGTGTTTTTACAGGTTATCAAGTTTTGTGAGTTATTTAAAGGCAAAATATTTTAGATTTTTTGTGTGTAAATATTTCATTAACAATTTTTTGAGAATAGCAGTGATTATTTTCCAGATTCAAGCCCTACTATTTAACTCATTGCTAAAAGGAGGAGAGGAATTCTTTTCCACAGGTATTTGTGTATAAGTGTATAAGTGAATATAAGAAACCCGACTGGAATTCAAATTTGGCTCTCCGATTTCTCATTCCAAGAGACACTATCCATTACACTACCCACACAGTCAGCTGGCTGCAAATCTTCAAACCTTCAAAGTTATATGGTGCATCATACACATATGCTCATTTATTATTATTATCATCATCATTCGATTTCTGCTATGGACACACTACCTACCAAGTCTGCGGAAAGACCTAAGGCAGGTCGTGGTGTGTTGTTATGGCCACATTTCATGTTAATTTTTTTTTTTTTTTTTTTATCTCCGATGAAGTTGCTAGCGTTACATAAACAAAGTTCTCCTTAGTGTGTGTGCTGTACTTAATAAGACAATTTTCTGTATGTCTCTTAAGCTGGGGTTTCAGGGATTCTTTCAATGTGTTGTTTTGTTCCATTTTTTATAATTCCAAGTGCACCTATTACCACTGGTATTATTCTTGTTTTCAATTTCCACATTTTTTCTATTTCAATTTCCAGGTCTTTGTATTTTGATAGTTTTTCAAATTCCTTGGTTGCTATGTTACAATCCGCTGGACAAGCCATATCAATTAGTAGGCAAGTTTTTTCTTTCTGGTTTTTTGACAATAATGTCCGGCCTATTTGCTTCAATTTTTCTGTCTGTGTGGATGGTATAATCCCATAGAATGGTGACATCTTCTATTTCTGTAACCGGCGCTGGCCGATGTTCATACCAGTGTTTGCTTACACATTTTCCAAAGTGTTTGCACATTGTCCAGTGTAAGTATTGCCCCACTCTATCGTGACGATTTTTATATTCATTTGGGGCAAGTATAGAACATCCTGAGATTAGATGGTCTATTGTTTCTTGGTATTTGTCACAGAACCTGCATTTTGGATCCACATTATTATGTATGATATTTGCCTGAAAATTCCTAGTGAAAAGACTCTGGTCTTGCGCTGCAAGAATAAAGCCTTCAGTTTCAGACTTTAATCCAGATGCTCGTAACCATCGATGAGTATTAACTTTATCAACATTGGGTTTATTTGCACGTTCTGGATATTGGCCATGCAGAGGTTTGTCTTGCCAGCGTTGTTTCATCTGTTCAAGGGCTTTATCCTTGGCTTTCTTTTTTCATATCTTTTGCTGCAATAGTTGGTTCTTGGCTTCTGTTTTGATTTACTACAGAATCTACTAAATGTAAATGTTGTTTGTATTTACTGCCTTCTTTTATTATTGAATATTTTTTCTTTCTGTTTTCATGTTGTTTCACTAATTTTATCATCCAGTCATTTGTTGTTTCCATGTGTTAGTAAGCCAATAGTTGTTGTCTTGTATGACAATTCTAGCTGAATAAGACCTCTTCCACCTTCTCTTTACGGGGTATGTATAGACGGTCTACATCAGCCTTTGGATGATGCATCTTATACTTAGAAAGAAGCTTTCTTGTTTTAGAATCCATTTGTCTGATGTCATTTAGAGTCCAGTTCAAGATGTTGAAACTATATTGGACCACTGGGATGGCAAGGTTATTAATGGCCATAATTCTGTTCTGAGAATTCAATTCAGTTTTTAATACCAGTCGTACCCTTCTATAGTACTCTTTTACGCACTATTTTTTCATTTTCTTATGGTGAATTCCTTCACTCTCATTTACACCTAGGTACTTATAAGCTTCTCCTTGTTCTAAATCTTTTATTGTTACAGCAGGGTCTAAACTAATAGAGGAAGTTTGTTGTAGCGATCCTCGTAAAACTGTAGCTTTAGCACATTTATCCAAATTGAATTTCATTCCAATGTCTTCACTGAAGCATTTTACAGTTTGCAGAAGACCTTCCAGCTCATTGTCATTCCTAGCATACAATTTTAAGTCATCCATGTAAAATAGATGGTTTATTTTCTTTTGAGCTATTTTGTAACCGCATTCTGTCTTGTTAAGTTGGCTGGTTAATGCTATAAGTGATATGCAAAATAATAAAGGAGACAAAGAGTCACCTTGAAATATTCCTCTATTGATGTTTATTTCGCCAGACTTATAGGTTCCATTTTATGATTGAGGTAAAGTGTAGTTTTCCATATCGACATACATTGTTTGATGAAATTGATGATAACGGGTGATACCTTGTACATACTTAAAGACTTTAAGATCCAGGAATGTGGTACACTATCGAATGCTTTACGATAATCTATCCAGGCAATACTAAGATTTTTTTTTTCCACGGAAGCAGTTTTCCAGGATCATCCTATTAATAAGTAATTGGTCTTTACATCCGTAGCAGCCTCGTTTGCACCCTTTTTTGTTCAAGTGGTAGTATGTCATTTCTTTCCAAGAAGAAATATGTCTGTTTTGTTAAAATAGATGTTAACAGTTTGTATGTTGTTGGAAGACATGTAATTGGTCTATAGTTTTTCGGAATATTTGTGTCACTATTTTTGGGTAGAAGAAAGGTAACTCCTTTGGTCATCCATGCAGGAATTTTAGTTGGATCGGTAACCATTTCTTGAAGTTCTTTGGCGAGTTTTTTGTGTGCTGTATTTAAATAATATAGCCAGAAGTTAGAATTTTATCTATTCCTGGAGATTTCCAGTTGTGTGCTTTTTTCAGTGCACATTTAACATCTTCTTCTGTGATTCCCGCCCATGTCTGTTCTGGTTTATTTTTCATTCGTTCTAACTCTTGCGCAATCCAATCTGCCTCTTCGTTGTGTTCTTTAGGGCAAGCCCATATTTTTCCCCAGAACTGTATAACTTCTTCCATTTTAGGGGGACTGTCACTTCAATTCTTTTGTTTACCTATTTCCCTGTAAAATTTCTTTGCATCGGTTTGAAAGATCTTGTTCTGTCTATAGAATCTTGATCTTATCTCGTAGCGTCTTATTCTTTGAGCCTTCAGTTGTATTGTTTGCTTTATTTTTTCTTTAGTTGATAGGACTTCATTTTCATTCCTGATATTGTATTTTCTTTCGACTCTTCTGCCTTTTCTAGTTCTTACATTTACTCCTCTTGCTAGTTCATCGAGTACTGATAATTCACTTCTAAGGTGTTCAATTTCTTTTTCTATTTTTTCTTTTCCAAGGTGGATCTTCATGTCTGTGAGACTGCCTTTTTTTTTACTTTGATGTTCAGTTTATTTGTTGCTGCTATTGCTGATGCATATATTGCTTCATTGAGATTTATATGAGTGTCTTCTTCATCCAGAATCAATTTGAGTGCTGCATTATAGAGCTTAATAGTTTTGAGGTTATGCTTTGTTGGTTGTAATTTTGGGAGTTGTTCTCGTTCCTCCATTGCAATATTCTGTATCTGACTTATATGGCTCATGATTTCATCCTTGGCTTCTTGTATATTAATCTTGTTTTCTGTGAAATAATTCTGTTCGATGAATTTTGAACTCGTTTTATTACCGTCTTGTGACTGACTAAGATCATACCTTTCCAACATTTCTAAATTTTCAGCATTATCTTCACAGTGATTTGTGTGTATTTCGGTTTTTTCATTATGACCTGAGGCTTGTGTGATGTTATTACTTTTTTTTTCCCGATTCCGGTTCCTTTTCATGTTTTGTTGGTTCATCTATTCTTGTTGCAATTCTTTTTATTTCATTAATTTCAGCCTCTGTCAATCGGTTATTTCGCATGATGTCCCTTCTTACATTGGCTAGTTTATTTTTGTCTATGTACTTTCTAATTGTTTGCCTAACCTTCTCTCGCCAAATGTCATATGTTTGGCGAGTGATGTTTTTCTGAGGTTTGAGTAACGCTTCATGGAATGCAGTCATAACAACTTTGTACTCCTCACGAGACCATTTTATTTTTTTTTCTTTCCTTAAATTTACGGTTATGGATCTAGCTGGAGAATTTACAGGACCATCATTAGGATTATCCTGGTTGTGGGGACCTGAAGATTCATTCTTTGTGTAGGAGTTTGTTCCTATGGCAGATTTTTTCGACCTCAGGTAGGTTCCTCCTGAAGGACGGGCTCCCTGTTTATCCACTGGAAGAGCCATACTGACGTTTTGTTTCTATTTTTAATTTTCATATTAATCCCACGAGTGACGCACGGGTCCAAAAGTCCACCCAAAGTTGCCCGGCACGTTGAGTAACGGTCTTTTACAGACAGGGTTCCGAAGCCTGTAGGGATCGTTCACACCTCATAACGCAGTAGCCATTCACCCTCGGCACGATTAACACCTTTGAGTTGCGGGTTGTTGTTCGGAGTTTTCCTTCTCCTAAATGGGTTGCCAAGCAACAATAGACAGAGACACGATTGGAAATCAAAGAGAATGACGCTGGTTAAAAAAAAAAAAAAAAAAAAAAAAAAAAAAGTTTACATTCGTTTGTCTTTGCTGTGAAATTTAAAAATAATTTATTGGCCCATCTGTAAATTCCACGATATTCCTTCTTAGAAAGATCGCATTTTCTTTTCATAAATTCATAAAATGTAATATGTAAATGTAAATTCCGTTATTTTTAAAAGTCGTTGAAAATAGCGTTGTTTTAAAAAAAAAAAAAAAAAAAAAAAAAAAATTTACATTCGTTTGTCTTTGCTGTGAAATTTAAAAATAATTTATTGGCCCATCTGTAAATTCCACGATATTCCTTCTTAGAAAGATTGCATTTTCTTTTCATAAATTCATAAAATGTAATATGTAAATGTAAATTCCGTTATTTTTTAAAGTCGTTGAAAATAGCGTTGTTTTAAAAAAAAAAAAAAAAAAAAAAAAATGCAATCCTTCTAAGAAAGAACATCGTAGAAATTGTATTGTTTTTACCTGTAATGTTTTTTTGCGGGGTGGATATTGAAAACTAAGGGATATGTGAATGAGAAAAATTAAATAATTGATTAATCTATCAGTATTATTTAAAGGAGAACCAAATAAATTAAATAATAATAATACGAAGAAAAATTCATGCTTACGCTAAAATAGTAAAAATAACAAAATTTCATATGCGTTAAAAAAAAAACTTGGAAGAAACAGCCGCTCAACGAAACAAAACATCACTACACTAGAGAGTATTTATATTAAATTTTTTTTTTTTTTTTTTTTTTTTTTTTTTTTTTTTTTTTTTTTTTTTCGCCATCACTAGTCCTAGTAACAAAAATAATTGTCATAAAAAAATTAAAAGTTTACATTCGTTTATCTTTGCTGTGAAATTTAAGAATAATTTATTGGCCCATCTGTAAATCCCGTTATTTTTCAAAGTCGTTGAAAATAGCGCTATTGAAAAAAATACGCAATCCTTCTAAGAAAGAATATCGTAGAAATTGTATTGTTTTTACCTGTCATGTTTTTTGTTTTTTGGGGGGGATATTGAAAACTGAGGGATATATGAATAAGAAAAATTAAATAATTGATTAATCTATCAGTATCATTTAAAGGAGAAACAAATAAATTAAATAATAATAATACGAAGGAAAATTCATGCTTACGTTAAAATAGTAAAAATAACAAAATTTCATATGCGTAAAAAAAAACGTTACGTTTGGAAGAGCTTCTTAAAACACGTCATTCTCGTTGTAATCCCAACCGCGTCTCAATTTGGATGGGTGGATAGTGCAACAGCTATTGGTGAAAATTGCTGCCTTTGGTAAAGACATGTCACAATCTCTTCTCAAAACTATGGGTTAAATAACAGGGTAGTCTAGACTCCCTAACCTTGTATAGCAACAAATATAAAAGAATGAATACTCGACATTCTTCTATAGTACCACATATCTGTTGCTTCAGTTCTTCTCTTCATCTGTGAGGAAACTGTCCAGAATTCACTGCCATATACAAGTATTGTTATTACATAACAGTTCAGCACACCTTTCTTTGTCTCTAACAAAATTCCCTGTTTTTTAATACTTTGTTTAGCTTTCATTATGCACCTTCAGATTTCTACATTATATTTTTTCATCTGTTATAACACTTCCCAGATAGTTAAAATTCTGATGTCCCCAATTTGTAGCTCCATCTTGGACTGTAGCTCTTGTTTATGAACATACATTGGTTTTGTTTTTTTTTTAAATTGAGGGTCACTTCTTTCTTCCTACTTTCCTTTACTATTTTGTCTAGTAGTTCCTTCAGTTTTCTTTCTCTGTCTGCCATCAACATGATGTCATCTGCATAGCTTATGTTGTTAAGATTGTACTCACTAATAATAAATCCTGGTATGAATTCTCATTCTCTTAGCTGTATAGTTTAAATAAACAGTCTCTTCTATTCTTTTCTACTAGCTTAATTCATTTTCTAGTCATATCCAAAGAACTTGATCCTCACAGTTTAAATAGATTGCTATGTCATTAAATATGGAGGTGTGAAAATTTAATTTGAAAACTTTGGATACCCACCTTCCTTCCTTCTGAAAACAGATTAGTTTTATATGTAAGGATTAATACAACTATGACTAAAAGTTTGTAGCCTTACCTTGCTGTCGACAAAAACTGAAATCTTCTGGTAATAGTTTACACCAAATATGGCAAAGAATGTACTGATGACATTAACAGGCGTACAATGTGTGACTACAAGATTAAGTACATTGCTTAGTTTGGTTATCTCGTCAAGGATATTGTCTAACACCCCATCACTGCTGATAGTGTCAACATTTTCTTGCAACCATTTTGTGGCATCATGCTGCAAAAGACAAAAAAAGGAAGAATATTATTCATGTTAAGACAAGATAAGAAAATACAAATGAAAAAGAAAATATTATATACACTAGCTGAAGTACCCTGCTATGTCGAGTAAGAAATTCAGGTTAGGAGTGATTCATTGATTCAATTGTTTTTTATGGCTTAGCAACCATTTGTGGGTTATTTTAAAGCCAAAATATATTTTGGGTTGTAAGAAGTTGCTTACACTACCCAGTGATCCCCCATCTAAATACTAACCAAGCTTGACACTGCTTAACTTTTGGTGATTGAACAAGAACTGGTGTTTTCAGTGTGATTTCACTGTGGATGACAAGTGAACATGGATAAAATTAAACAAAGCTGTACTATATAACTCCTAAAATGGAATAAAGTATATAACCATGTGTATTTTATAATTTTTAGCATAATTAGACAGAAATTGTTCCTTCAAACATGTCTTATTAGAGAATATAGACAATATGTCTACTGAGTTTGTACATCTTCTCCAAATTTGAAATGATCCTTTGCAGAAATGGCAGTTGATGTATGAAATTTCCAAAATTTTTATAATGGTTGTATTCAAGGTTTCGACTCTCATAAGTCATCCTCAGGGATGTGTAATTAGTGCACTATGTAAACGGTAATAGTCATAAGTCCCACATTTAGTGTAATGTTAAATTTAATAAAACAAATCCAGCAGGAAGTTCCACCTGCCATGTGTCACAAAGATGATCATAGAATTTTGTCATTTATAATTTTTGTTGTCAAGGAAAAATTCATTATTTACGCTTAGATTATTATCCTCAAATTTGTTGTTGTTTTTATCCCAACATTTCAGCCACTGCACTCTCCAGCTTTTATGAAGTGCTTCATAATCCAGATAACTTTCAAGGAATTAATAACTAAACCCATTATTTAATCTACATGCGTAGATTGTTCCACTTCCCATGTCTAGGGATATCTCATCAAGTTAATATTTAGTACTGCTCAGTTATTGTTCACTCTATTTCTACTAAGTCTGCACAGACTGGCCCAGGGACTGAACTCACAATGACTGTCACAAAATTCACAAACCAAGGCTTTAATCCACCAGTCAAGAGTCAGTCATTATCTATTATCTATCCTTCTTAGCCGTATAACTTTCACTTCATACAGGAAAATCTTATTAGAAACAAAGAAAAGAATACTGAACTGCCTATATCAGTCTGCCTATATGGCAGTAAATGCTGGAAAATCTCCTCATAGATGAATGAGAGACTTGAAGCAACAGAAATGTGGTTCTACAGAAGGATGCTGAAAATACCATGGAACAAACATGTGAGCAATGACAAAGTTTTAGAGAAAATGGAAACAAAAAGAACAATTATACTTAACATTAGGAAGAGATAGTTGAATTAGGAAAGAGGGCTCAGAAAATTAGATACTCACAAGACAGATTGAAGGCAAGAGAGACAGAAGAATGCAATGCATAACCTACCTGGTGAGCTTGAGTCAATAAATGAAAGAATAGAGTTTGGGAGAGATAGCAGAAAGACAAAACTTATTAAGGGATTTGATACTCTATGGTCAATTGGTATTATCAGATTAGGTTGGTATTATCAGATTAAATGCAAATGCTTAAGTAGTCTGATCTGACCAGTCTGTCTGGAAAGGATTGTTTTGAAATGCTAAAGTGAATTTTGCCATTAAAAATATTTTGACTAACTTTCTTTCAAACTCAAAAAGAGATGAAGAAAATCAATTTCTGGAAAATATGATCATTATTCATTAACTAAATAAAGATTTTCTAAAATAATTATTCTTAGAATAAAACACAGTTTAATGTGTTTCACAATGTCATGAGTTCCATAAGCCAGAGTCTCTACTTTTCAGGAAGGTTTTGATTTCAGATTTTTCTTCATCAGATTCCTTAGAGAATATTAACACATTTTAACTGGATAAAGTTCATTCAGAAATAATTCTGCTATTTAATATTATTGAAAAGAATTAACAAATTTTGAGCAGGCATAGCATAATTTTCCTCAAAGTTCTTCTTTTAGATTTTAAACCCTTACCTCAGCATCCTTTCTACATTTATGAATCCTCATCAGCTGCCTCAAAGCATTCTCTTTAATTTTGCCTACAGCAACTCAACAATAATTTTAGCATTAAGAAAGGTCAGAAATCACAGAGGGTCAAACCTAGACTGATGCTGTGGGAACAGATACTTTAATTCTAGTCATCTGTCCTGTTTTTTTGTTACTTTTGAGGTCTTTTCATATCCTGAATCAGATGCTAATTAGTCATTAGATGCTAATAGTCAGAGATGACACAATGTTTTGTGAAAACGATATGAAGAATCGCACAGTCATTGTGAATGCAATGTCACACAGTACACAAGCCCACTCATTGGTATCATACAGCTGACTAAGTAACCAATGGATAGGCACTCTTCATACATGTGTAGTAAGTTCCCCTTTGATTAATTGCCAAGGCTGCACAACCAGTTCTGAAGGCATTCAAAATGGCTAGATACATTCCAGACAAACTGTATATAAGTTTCATGAAATTGGGAACCTAGAGGTGGTGTAATGGTTAACAAGCTTGTCTTGCTAGAACAATTATGACTGAATAGTGAGATTGATAGTTTGTGTTGCTAGAACAATTATGACTGAATAGTGAGATTGATCCTCACTAGGTGCCCCGTACTTTTGGCCTTGTGCTTGTAAAAATCACTATTTGGGCAATTCGAGGTGGTGTAATGGTTAGCAAGTTTGTGTTGCTAGAACAATTACGACTGAGTAGTGAGTTCAATCCTCACTGGGTGCCCCATACTTTCGGCCTTGTGCCACATCTAAGCTACGCTTGGAAAATCACTATAAGTTTCATGAAATTAGTGGCAAAAAAAAATTTTGCATTCCTTCTCTTTACATTTTGATGTATATTTTGTATAAAATATTTATTTTTTAATTGGTAGAAAAATTCTTTTTCTATTAGATTAAAATAAAACCATCTGCTTTAGGGAATCATTTGAAAGAAACAGTATCGCTTTACCTTAAGTTGTTTTAATATCATATTCAAGAGTTGTTCTTTAATTGGTGGATTTTCTTCCCACAGATCTAATTCCAGGATTTCTGTCATTATGCTGTTTAAGAGAGAAGTAAAAATATCAATATTTTTATTCTGCAATGGATTAACAAGATTATCTTAATTTGACTGGAAATAGAAAATATCAAAAGAAGAATGACAGAAGTAAATGAAAAAAGAAGGGAGGCAGAGATATTGAAAGAAGGAAATTGATAGAAATATTGAAGGTTCAGTGACAGAGATATTAAAAGAAGGAAATTGATAGAAATATTGAAGGGACAGTGACAGATATTAAAAGAACGAAACTGATAGAAATATTGAAGGTACAGTGACAGAGATATCAAAAGAAAGAAAATGATAGAAATATTGAAGGGACAGTGACAGATATTGAAAGAAGGAAATTGATAGAAATATTGAAGGTACAGTGACAGAGATATCAAAAGAAGGAAAATGATAGAAATATTGAAGGGACAGTGACAGATATTGAAAGAAGGAAATTGATAGAAATATTGAAGGTACAGTGACAGAGATATCAAAAGAAGGAAAATGATAGAAATATTGAAGGGACAGTGACAGATATTGAAAGAAGGAAATTGATAGAAATATTGAAGGTACAGTGACAGAGATATCAAAAGAAGGAAAATGATAGAAATATTGAAGGGACAGTGACAGATATTGAAAGAAGGAAATTGATAGAAATATTGAAGGTACAGTGACAGAGATATCAAAAGAAGGAAAATGATAGAAATATTGAAGGGACAGTGACAGATATTGAAAGAAGGAAATTGATAGAAATATTGAAGGTACAGTGACAGAGATATCAAAAGAAGGAAATTGACATATTGAATGAAGGAATTGAAATGTTGAAAGAAGAAGGCTGACAAAAATATCAAAAGGAGTTGTAAAAATAGGGGTGGATAACAATAATTTTTTATGCAATGTGGGTAATAAAAATATTCTTGGACAAGGAAAAAAATTTTCAGTAATTGTTATGATGTTGATTTGGGGTTAATAAAGACAAACGCCAAATAACACGTAACAATAAAAAGGGGTTTATTCGGTTGGTAAGTAGGTACAGAAATCGCCTGAGTAGTCTATAACTAACTCAGCCAAGAACTTCTCCGACTCTGTCTGTCTTTTGACATGCCACTATTTAACGTCTTTGTTTGTAGACAAGTTCATCTTCAAGAGGTGTGGTAGGTTTCCTACACAACCCCTTGAGATTAATTCGGGAGGAATTAATATCTTTTCCTTTTGGGATCTGGACTTAAACGTTCCACCCTCGTTCTTTTTCTTTTGCTTGTCCTTCTTTGGACAACTGTTTCAGGCAATGGTGGAGTTGGTATATCAAATAAATCATATAATACCTCCATTGGTTCTTCCTTTTCTTTACTCATTTCTTCAATGTTTCTTCTCCTTAATTGGTTCAAATGTCTTTTGCGCATCCATTTTTTACTTCTCATACAACATTTTACCAATTCTTTGCGTTACTACTCCATCTTGCCAAAATTCCTTCCCATTTTTGTAATTTTTAAAAAAAACTTTATCTCCCGGCCTGAAATATTTCATATTTTCCTGATGCGTTTTGTTCTGGTAACTCTTTTTTCTTTCCGGCAGCAGCCTATTGAACACAGATCTAATTTTTCAAGCAAACATCAGCTCAGCTGGAGACATCCCTGATATTGCGTTTGGATTTGGTGTTATTCTGTATATACTTAAAAATTGCTGTATATTACCATCATCTGTATTAGTACCATTTGTTTTTTTAAGGGCTCTCTTGAACGTATCAACAAACCGTTCAGTCTGTCCATTTGACCTAGGATGGTACGGCGAAGTCGTGATGTGGTCAATTCCCAGAGTCTTACAAAATGTCTTAAATTTACTTCCTGTGAATTGAGTTCCATTGTCTGTGACAATTTTTTCTGGTACTCCAAACCGTGCAAACAGTTCTGTAAGAAAATCTTTTGTTACAGAAGCAGTTGGTCTTTTGCACTTAAAAACCTCAGGCCACTTGGAATAGCTATCCACAACTATCAAGTAAAAATTACCATTCATGGGTCCAGCATAATCTATGTGGAGTCTGGTCCATGGAACATCTGTTTTTGGCCAAGGTGTGTATTTTACTGGCGGTGCTTTCATTGCCATTTGACACCCTCTACAAGTTTTAACTACCTGTTCAATGTCTTTGTCCATATTTGGCCAATAAACGTAACTCCTCATCAGGGCTTTCATACGTCCAATACCAGGATGCCCCTGATGAAATTCCTTCAAAATCCGCTTTTGTAGTACAACCGGTATCACGACCCTTCCAGCATATAACAGCACTTCATCACATATTGAATATGCTGGTGAAGAAGTTTTATACTTTTCTGCAGTTACAACTTCTTTCATTTTCTTAATAAAAATGTCATTTTCTGATTTTAATTTTATTTCATCTAATGTCACCGGTAATTCTTTTACTGTGTTATACATTACTTCAACCAATTCATTTTCTGCTTGTAACGACGCTATCACCGTATCTTCTAGCGGTTCCGAAGACGTTGGGATCAGTCTAGATAAACCATCAGCATGGCTTAATTTTTTAGACGATAAAAATTCCATTTTGAAATTATAATTCAACAAAATGGTTCCCCATCATTGCAAACGGTTACCCTTCTTCGAACCATAGATTGAAAGCAGCGGGTGATGGTCGGTCTGCAATATAAACCTTCTTCCATGTATATACTTATGGAATTTTTTACAAGCATAGATGATAGCTAAGCTTTCTTTCTCAATTTGAGAGTACTTCTTTTCTGCGGGTAATAATGTCCTTGATGCATGTGCCACTGGCTTCGTATTGCCGTCTCTGAATTTATGCAAAATTACCACACCTATTCTGTACTCGCTTGTGTCCGATGCCACTATAATTTCCTGTTTAGGGTCATAATGTGTTAGTGATAATTCTGACGTCAAAATATTCTTTATTTTGTCAAACGCCTTCTGATACACTTCTGACCATTTCCACTTTGCTCCCTTTTTAAGCAATTTATTTAATGGAGCCATAAGGCTGCACAAATTAGGAATATATATCCCATAATAGTTAGCAAGTCCTAAGAATGCTTGTAGCGTTACTACATTTTTGGGAGATGGCATGCTTTTGATCGCTTCTGCTCTCACCGAATCTGGTCTTCTTCCATCTGCCCCAAAAACTTAATTTCACTCATAAAAAATTCACATTTTTCAGCTCCAAGTTTGAATCCATATTCTTCAATTTTTTCAAAAACCTTATTAATATGTTCCAAATGTTCATTTCGATCTTTACTTTTTATCAAAACATCATCAAGATATGCAATGGCGAAGTCCAACCCTGCCAGCACAGTGTCCATAATTTGCTGAAAAATACTTGGGGATACTTTCAAACCAAACGGCAAATGGTTAAATTTGTATAAACCCTTGTGTGTATTGATAGTCAACAATTTAGAACATTCTTCGTCCACTTTCACTTGGAGATAGGCATCCGATAAATCCAATTTAGAGAATATTTTTCCTCCACTTAAACTTGCAAAAATCTCTTCTGGTGAAGGCAAAGGATATGTGTGGTCTTTTAAGCAATCATTTCGACCCGTAGAGAAATCGGTACACATCCGAATTTTATTATTCTTTTTCTTAACATATACAACAGGGCAGGCCCACTCTGAAAATTCAATGCGTGAAATAACTCCTAAATTTTCAAGCCGTTCCAATTTGTTGTTAATCTGTTCCACAACACCAAATGGCACATTTCTTTTTCGCTTGAAAATAGGTTTTACATTTTCCTTCACTTCAAATTTTGCCTTCGCCTTTTTGCAACATCCAAGACCTTCTGAAAATACTTGTGGAAATTTTATTTTCAGATCTTTCAACAAATTTTCTGTAACCCGATTTTTACATTGAGAAGAAACATTAACTCTATTGCAAAAAGAATTTATAGGGAGTTCCCATGAATTAAACAGTATAATCCAATCTGTTCCAAACAAATTTGAAGCATTTTGTAGCACATACACTTTAGACTTTAGTGTCTTACCAACAAATGAAATATTACAAGAAAATTCACCTTGAAAATGCAATTTTCTTCCAGAAATCCCGCAAGCCACTTTTTCAGTTTTTTTAAGCAAAGATCTGCCTATATTAATCCATGTTGCTGTATTAATAATGGAAACATCACTTCCAGTATCTAGCTGTAGTTTAACATTTTTCCATTAATTTTTACCTGTATGAATTTTCTTTTCTGCCCCTCCTCAATCTCCTGATGTGACAATACAATATTCACATCTTTTTTCGACTTAATTTTTTTTTCTTTTGCTTTTACAATGAGTACTTATATGGCCTTTATTGCCACACGAATAGCAATTTTTGTCGCGAAAAAAACATTCACTTTTAAAATGACCACCACCGCATCCAAAGCACGTTGGTTTTTTAATGTTTTTATTAACTATTCCCTTTTTTGGTCGAATAGCATGGACACGGGATACGTCTTTTTCTTCAATTTGCGTATTGTCATGTTTTAAGTTTTCAATTCTTTGACATTCTTCCGTAACCTTCTGCAAAGTAATCTCGGAATTTTGTTTGAGTTTTGCCAATATTCGGGACCTTATGTCCTTATCTTTGCTAGAAGTCAAGCCTTGAACGAATATCAAACATTTAAATCGATCAATTGAAAGATCATGTAACATAAAACGTTCACACATTCTGTTAACATTTCCAGCATATGTAACAATTTACCATATTCAAACACGAGAAACGAGTATGAAACAAACTAACTCGCTCGCCAAAAATACAAGATAAAGTATTAACAGTTTCTTCGAAAGAAATGTCAGCAGTTTTTCTTGGAAGGACAAAATTCGTATACTTATTATTTTCATCTGTACCCAACTTTTGTAAAAGTAAACTCACTTTTTGTTCATCAGTCCAACCTTCACAAATTTTTTTCAAATATTGTTTCAAATCTTCTGAAATACGCAGGAAATGTTATGCCCTCCTCTGGGTTAAATTTGAACTCAGTAATAGAATTAGCAATACCTTCGGCCGTGAATGACGAATTTACTGGATTCTTAAGTAAAATTGCTTCATATAAAGCCTTGTGTCATTTCCTCGCTGCTGAACTTGTAAATCCAATAGTTGTTCCCAAAACAATTTTGTTGCTCTTGTTGCTGAATTTGACTTTGCACTAGAGTTTTCATTAATGCAATCAAATCTTCCATTATGCGTAATAGATTACACAAAACACTTTTCGAAAACAGTCAAAAAAGGGAAAACACGTATATATCCAACAATAAACACCAGTCTTACTTCTTTTTGGCACATTGAAATCCTATTTCTTTGTGAAGAACAAAGTTCGACGTATTGTTTTTTTTTTCTTTCAGTGCGAGAAAAAAAAATTATATAGTCCACCTAGAATTGAAAAATTCTCCACTCAGCGTGATGAACGAATCTCTTGTCGCCACTGTTATGATGTTGATTTGGGGTTAATAAAGACAAACGCCAAATAACACGTAACAATAAAAAGGGGTTTATTCAGTTGGTAAGTAGGTACAGAAATCGCCTGAGTAGTCTATAACTAACTCAGCCAAGAACTTCTCCGACTCTGTCTGTCTTTTGACATGCCACTATTTAACGTCTTTGTTTGTAGACAAGTTCATCTTCAAGAGGGGTGGTAGGTTTCCTACACAACAGTAATGATATAAGAAAACTTTGGCCTCCATTTGAAAAATTTCTTGTTCATAACCATTTTCATGTAAATTTTAATGTGCTGATTCTACCACATTCTTACCAGATTTGCTGGCATATAAAGCTGCACATTTGGTTGTGATACATGTACCTTGTATATGTTATATCTTGTCAATACTTCCACATTTTTCATAAACAACTGCAAGAAAAAGTCTAACCAGCATTGTTGTAAGACCGATTCAGGATATGAAAAGACCTCAAAAGTAAAAAAAAAAAACAACAGCATTCTGTGGCACAGATGACGAGGATTAAAGTATCTGTTCCCACAGCATCAGCCAGCCTAAGGCTCCAGATATCAGTGGCTGTTCCAGTTAGCCAGCCATCATCTTCAGCTTGTCATCACTTCAGCCATCTCCAGTAGGCCTCCAGCTCCTGGTGCTCCAGCCAGCCATCTCTTGTAGGCCTGTAGCTCCAGTCTTCTCCAGTAGGCCTCCAGCTCCTGCTGCTCCAGCCATCTCTTGTAGGCCTGCAGCTCCAGTCTTCTCCAGTAGGCCCGCAGCTCCTGCTGCTCCAGACATCTCTTGCAGGCCTGCAGCTCCAGTCTTCTCCAGTAGGCCTCCAGCTCCTGCTGCTCCAGCCATCTCTTGCAGGCCTGCAGCTCCAGTCTTCTCCAGTAGGCCTCCAGCTCCTGCTGCTCCAGCCATCTCTTGCAGGCCTGCAGCTCCAGTCTTCTCCAGTAGGCCTGCAGCTCCAGTCTTCTCAGTAGGCCTCCAGCCCTGCTGCTCCAGCCATCTCTTGCAGGCCTGCAGCTTCAGTCTTCTCCAGTAGGCCTCCAGCTCCTGCTGCTCCAGCCATCTCTTGGAGGTTTGCAGCTCCAGTCTTCTCCAGTAGGCCTCCAGCTCCTGCTGCTCCAGCCATCTCTTGTAGGCCTGCAGCTCCAGTCTTCTCCAGTAGGCCTCCAGCTCCAGTCTTCTCCAGTAGGCCTCCAGCTCCTGCTGCTCCAGCCATCTCTTGTAGGCCTGCAGCTCCAGTCTTCTCCAGTAGGCCTGCAGCTCCAGTCTTCTCCAGTAGGCCTGCAGCTCCAGTCTTCTCCAGTAGGCCTCCAGCTCCTGCTTCTCCAGCCATCTCTTGTAGGCCTGCAGCTCCAGTCTTCTCCAGTAGGCCTCCAGCTCCTGCTGCTCCAGCCATCTCTTGTAGGCCTGCAGCTCCTGCTGCTCCAGCTAGCTCCAACAGGCTCCAGCTATCCTTGTCAACAATATGCAATAAACTGTCTTTTTCAGGACAACACTCTCCAGCAGCCATGAAACTGTCCTTTTCAGGACAATGCTCTCCAGGCATAAAGCTATATTAGGGTCAATAGCTAAAGGCAAAGCGGGATTGGGGGTTTTCCCTGTCTGCAAACCAACATTGCTAAAGGCAAAGAAAGATGCCAATTCATCCAAGAAGAAGTCCGTGTGGGCGTAGAAGAAGTGCGTTACTGTAAAATGGTCGGTCTAAGTCAGCAGGGAGCCTGGACAAAATGGGAGAATGTAAAAAAGAAAAGAATTACATGGTCAGATTGCTGGCGGTCAGATTTTAGCGAGATTCGATTTCTCATCAAATCAGTATATGATATCCTACCAAGCCCAATGAACCTGCATATATGAGGGAAGAGCGAGACCCCCAATTGCCAACTATGTGCAAGGAAAGGATCCTTATAACACATCCTCAGTGGTTGCCTAAAAGCTTTGGGTGATGGTTGGTACCATTGGTGTCACAACCAAGCCCTCAAAGCAATTGCTAACGAGGTGACTAAAGCTATAAGGGCTAGTAAGCATCAACCAGGGAAGAAATTGAATCAGATTAACTTCGTAAAAGCTGCAGAGAAGATACAGAAACAAAGGAAAGAGGGAATGGGCATATTATCTTCCACAGACGATTGGCAGTTGATAGTGGACCTACAGACCCAGCTGAAGTTCTCTAGACAAATCGCCGTAACATCACTAAGACCGAATCTGATATTGCACTCCAACAACACAAAGCAGTGTATTATTTGTGAACTGTCTGTATCATGGGAGGAATATATTACACTAGCTAATGCGAGAAAGAGGCCCAAATACCAAGAACTGGTCAAACAATGTTGGCAGAAGTCATGGAAGATATACTATGACCCTGTAGAAGGCTTTGCTGGACAGTTGTTGTGCAGAGACCTAGCAAAAATAGATATAGTGGAGGCAGTTAGGGTGAGAGTGCTGAAGGACATTACCAACGTAGTTCTAACTGCGTCAAAATGGATTTGGCTTAAGAGATTAGAGCCATGGAAGAAATAATGAAGACAACAAGGGAAAAACTCACAATCATAATTAGGAGACGGGTTACAAGTTATAAGGGAATATTGAGGCAATACATTAAGTTAGTCGAACTGTTATGGATAGGAGTTGAGAATCATTGGCATATGTAGGGGGGGCATGGATAGGAGGTTTTTTTTCCTTTGCTTTTCGGTTACTGATTGCCATTATTTTTTATTATTTCTTTGTTAGCACTTACTCGCTGTTTTATTTCAATTGCATATTTATTATGAATGGAATGGGGGAGAAAGATATAGTTTCATAGTAATAATAGTCTGGAAATTTAGGGAGTCGATGCTAGTACCAATTGGGCAGATTTGTAAATATGTATCAGATTGTAAAGGTTACTTAATTGAGTAGATAGCATAATTATTTATTTATTTATTGTTATTAGGGGATCGAATTATTTTAGTTGGTAAGTGACAAAACAGGGAAGGAAATCGAGATAAATTAGTATGAATTAATTTGTAGTGAATGGTTTCGTGAATTAAAGAAAATGGGGGATAGAAGTTATGTATGTGTGTCAATACATGTGTGCGCGTATTTACATTTATGCGTGGATGCGGGAACGTACATGCAGGTGATTTTTTTTTTTTGTGTGCGTGTGATTTTGTTTGAATAAGAGTATAAGGTAAGCGTTACAGATTGACCTGATAGTTAGAATAGCGAATTTCTTTTTAGAAAGTGCTAGTATCGGATAGATTTGGGTTGGGTAAGAGTGTAGGTTTATGGGCTTAAACAATGCAATATAGATACCAGCACATCTCGTTATGGATTCCGGAAGTAGTAAATCTAAACCAGATGAAGTAAAAAGACAACAGGATATAGTAGAGGAGCATAAAAAGCCCTGTTTTTCATTGGCTGATGCTGACTGACATATGTCAGTAAGAAAGGTTGAAGTTCGGCCTTACTGTTTTTGCAATGTCGCAGTGCGTAGCACAACACTTTCAAGTAGGCGGCCTGACTCGTCTAGAATCAGGTCGGGATTGCTGTTGGAACCGATATGATGCAAAACCCAAAATCGGCAATGAGAACATTGCATCACTGAAGACCACCCTTGATGCATCTAAAATGTATAATTTAACAGCAACTATCAAAACTGTCATTCTCACCTTCTACATGAGCTTGCAGGGTTATTTTTTTCCTAGCGCACTGTAACATTATTTTTGTTTATGTATTTTTCTTTAACAAAAATAAACTGGGCAATATATTTTTTACTCAAGTCTTTGTTTTGTTTGTTGTTGCCTTCTGTCATTCAATATCTGTTTGCAGACCAATATACCACCCACAACAATGTAGTAACCTACAACATGAATAAAACAGCAACAATTGATTACTTGATGTAAAAGAAAAAACACTGTATCCACTATGGATTTAAACAAAGATACAACTAAGATGTCAGTCAATACATCAACACCCCTGCTCCACCAACCCCCATAAAATGAAGTCAAGCCCAGAAATTGGTTTCAGCAGCTTGAAGCAATAGTCATCTCCAAGAGATTCAGGTTCACCAATGTGGTGCAAGCCCTGCCATCAAACTGAATCAGGGCTATACACACATTTGAGAAGTGTAATTATCAAGGGGAGTGGATGCTCCATTAAAGAGTTACTCTGTGAACTTTTCAGTGAAGGCAACAGAACTCCATCCCAGCTACTGCACTTTATAAGATGTCATTTAGGCCAAAACACCATGGCAGAACCCATCCTCTGTCTTCTGTGGATGGACAGACTACCAATGACTACAGATACTTGCACCGATGGTTGAAGACACCACACTGGACAAAAAACTGGCTGACATTGGTAACAAAATTTTTGTTAAATGCAATCAGGCAGTTATTTCAGTGCATGAAGCCAGCAAACCTGTCAACACAAACATGCAGTATATTAAAAAGACGTTAGCAGACTTGGCAGAAATAAATGCAAGAGATGCAGCTTACTCTGAGATCAAGAAACAGATCTCCAATTCAAGACAGCAGGGTGTGCAGAGGCAGCCACAGTCAAGAGAGACAGAACAACCCGGATATCTGCTGGTTCCATTAAACCTTTCAAGACAAATCAAGGAACTGCAAAAAGTCTTGCAAATATCAGATGGCCCATCGAAACTGAAAGAACAGAAGGTAGCAGTGGTGGACCCAGCTGGTAAAAAAATACAATGCTGCCTGTTCTATGTATAGGACAAAAACAAAAGTTAGTTCCTTGTGGACACAGGAGCAGTGATCAGCATGATACCACACACCCTCAAACCCACCCTGCTTAAGCACCAAGCAGCTAACAACTCCTACATAGAGATTTATGGTACAAAAATTCTCACCATAAACATTGACATGCAACATGATTTTACATGGTCAGTTACTCAAGCCAATGTCAAGACACCCATAATCAGGGTGCATTCTCACCTTCTTCACACATTTTAATTTGTCAGTGTACACGAATATGAGAACCCTGTCAGACAATACAACAAGCATCTGTATCATTAGTACCTGCACGACAGGAATCAGTGTTGCAACTTGTGAGTTCATGGACATATTGGATCAGTACACAGATATCACACAGCCATTGAAAAATACTGATTCAGAAAAGCATCAAACCCAACATCACATCAGAACAAATGGACAGTCCATGATGATTACCAAATTTTTCATTTTGCTATCATTCAATATCTGTTTGTGGGCCAATATACCACCTGCAACATATACACTCATCAGCTTTGCATATTCGTAATCCAGCATTATTTTGTAGGCATAATGCTATTTCATTTAATCATCGCAAGAATAATATATATAAATAATAGTTAAAATTAATTAAATCTATTTTTTATCACTAATAATACTTATCAGATGGCCATCAGCTATTTCCTTATTTCACTTCTTTAAATCACTCAGCTATTATATCATGAAGCAATACATGTACTTGGGCATTGAGATTTTCGATGATTTGATGATTTCTAAGTGGGTGATAGTCACATGAAGTTGAAGTGCATACTGTGAGTGCTGAGTAAAATCTTTCAGATTCTGAACTCCTGTAATGAAGAGTTATCATTATTTACATTCAGACTATTGTGTTCATTTTCTTATCACATTGTTTCAGCCATTAATCTCTCTGGCATTCTTCAGGTGTTTGTCTATCTGGATAACATTCAGAGAATTTTGAACTGAACAATCTACAGGGTTAGGTTGTTCACATTCCACTGTATATGTCTATGATTATCTTGTCTAGTTCTTATTTAGTACTATCCATGCTCACTCTCTTTCCACTAAGTCTGCATTTCATGGGCAAGGGACTGAACTGACATTGATGATGAACTTTCCTCTTTGATACTGTGACTTCATAATTTAAATGCTGTACTAGATTGGCAGTTAAGTCTCTTTTACTGTTGAAATTGCCATAAGTTCTATTCTTCTCTTGCCTGTGGAACTCTCTTCCAACTTCTTGCTTTCCTATCAACTACAATCTTCAAAAATTTGAATGCAATGTCAATTGCCATTTTCTCTCTCTCTTTGAATCTTGTTCTTTTATTGTACTCTCAAT